GCAGCAGCAAGAAAGGAGTTGTGTTTGCTGCTGTTATTGCTGCTATCTCTTCTTCAGTTTCTATTAAAAGATCCGCTTGCTGCTGCTGCTGCTGCTGCTAATTTCGATGCTGCTGCTGCTGCTGCTGCTGCTGCTGCTGGCAGCGCTGCCGCCTCGAGACCTGCTGCAGCAGCCGCATGCAACAGCAGCAGCAGCAGCAGCAGCAGCAGCAGCAGCAGCAGCATCGGCAGCGAGGACACTCGGTACTGCATGCAGTATAAAAGCAGCTGCACTGTCTCTGCTTTTTCTTTTTTTTATTTTCATAGATTTTCTTTCTCCTTTCAACCCCGTTAGCGCTGCTGCTGCACGCAGCAGCAGCAGCAGCAGCAGCAGCAGCAGCAGCAACAGCAGCAGCAGCAGCAGCAACAGCAGCAACAGCAACAGCAGCAGCAGCAGCAAAATATTAAAATACTCCCTCACTAAACAACTCAAAACAAATCAACAGAACGGCTGGACTCCGCGCTGCTGCTGGACACCGGCAGCAGCAGCAGCAGCAACAGCAGCAGCAGCAGCAGCAGCAGCAGCAGCAGCAGCAGCAGCAGCTCTGCTTGTATGATAGCGCGTATAACGAGGACTCACTGTAGTATGTTCAGCAGCACTTTGCATGCGCAGGGACCACTGCAGCAACAGCAGCAAAGACAGCCACAGCAGCAGCAGCAGCAGCAGCAGCAGCAGCAACAGCAGCAGCAGCAGCAGCAGCTATAGCAGCTGAATAGAACCCAAATAAATATGCAGTACCCATACGGAAATGTGGGGGCCCCCCTGGGGGCCCCCATAACCCCTGCTACCCACACGGGTGTCGGTAAGGTCTCCGCTGCTGCTGCTGCTGCTGCTGCTGCTGTCGTGTTGCTGCTGCTGCTGCTCCGCTGTCTTGTTGCTGCTGCGCTGCTATCGTGCTGCTGCACTTTTGCCGCTGTGCTTCTGCTACGTTGCTGCTGCTGTTCTGCTGCTATGCTGCTGCTGCTGTTCTGGTGCCATGTTGCTGCTGCTGTGCTGCTGCTGCTGTGCTGCTGCTGCTGCTTTGCTGCTGTGCTGCTGCTGCTGCGCTGCTGCTGCTGTCTGTACACTTTGGAGGGCGGAACAAGTGGAGGATGGTGATGCTGTTGTGTTGCTGCTGCTGCTGTGTTGCTGCTGCTGTTGTGTTGCTGCTGCTGCTGCTGCAGCGCCTATGTATTACGGGGGGGGCCCTGCAGCAACGGCAGCAGTTGCAGCAGCAGCAGCAGCAGCAGTCGCTCCGATTGCTGCTGCTGCTGCTGCTGCTGCTGCTGCTCCCGTTGCTCCTGTTGCTCCTGTTGCTGTGGCTCCTCTTGCTGCAGCAGCAGCA